TCAATTTATAAAATTGGATAAAAACGATTGATTTAGAAAAGTTATATGTCTGTAATGAATTTGGTTATGTAAATGTGTAATTTGTTGATGTTTTTAACTGTGAGAAATGAATGAACGAATGTATTTTAACGAGTCGATTAATGAACCGAAAACAGTGGTTTTAACAGGATAGCCGCACATTTATATAAATAATATAAATATAGAACATGCGATACGTGTGTGTACAATACACGTATAAACATTACTTTTTTTGCTCGAGCCCACGATAAAATGTAAATCATGAAAGTCATGTAACGTATTGGCATGAAAACGCAACAACAACACGAAAAAATAAATATACAACAGACAACACCACGTAATGGAATACAAAAAAGAAGTTGATTGAAATTAATTAAAGTGTTAATTTGCGGTCGTCCTGATCCGAAGATGAGGAATCATCTGGATGAAAGAAAGTAATAATGTTGATGTTGAAGACGCGAGAGATCACGTCACGTAGACACGTTATATTGTATTCGGAAATAACGAGTCGAGAATTAATTTGCACTTATCATTAATTTGCTGTTTGTCGCGAGGGTCGCTCTTTCGCGGATCGTGGACCCAGGGTCCGCAATGTTGTTGTTGTTACGTTACGTTTCGAAAGGAACGCACGTATCAATATTTATCAAATAGATGGGACACGGAATGGCCGAACTTGCGGCAACGCGAATGTTTATTATTTTTTCGTTCCATTCGTTTTGCATACAATGACTGACGTTAATGGACCTCCCTTTGTCAATACAATACACAATTATTAATGCCGTTCGGTTTCCACACATACACACACACACAATCAATGCATGATAATTCTATTCATGTATTTTCAGTCCTATTCAATTACATGTGCTTCCTTCCTTCGCTTCACCCACAAAGCTTATCCTCTCTTATCAATTTGACACAATTTACATTTTTCTGCTTCTTCAAATTTTTCTTACCAACCTTTCTTTTTTTTTCTCTCTTCAAAATGTCACTACTACTCCAACCTTTGACCCCTTTTGTTAATTGTCTTACAAAACACAATCTATCAATAGTTACCATTCATTAATATTTTTCCATTACGTCACCAGAAATCAGAAACATTTAAATGCGTCAAATTTAAGCGAATAAAACAATTACGTCAAAATGACAGCTAGAAATTATCGCATTACTGTCAACTTAATTTGACGTAATGATGACAATTTTAATGCTTTAATTTCGTAGATAACAATGACAATTCATTACGTCAAATTAAATTTACATTTGATAAATCGAAATCGTTAAAATGACAGTTACGAACTGTCAAACAAAAATTTTATCAAATTGCCAAAAATTCAATGAATCAAATTAAAACATAAAAAATTATGTCAAACTGACAGCGTTTAATTATTTCGTTAATGTCAAATTTACGACGACATGTTTATATATAAAATTGCATCAAAATGACAATTAATTAATGACGTTTATTACGTAAAATTACTACAATTTATTAATTCAAAACTGTCAAATTTATATTGAAATGAAAATTCATAACGTCAAATAACAGTTGATAAGTAAACAAAGTATACGTCAAAATTAGTACAAATTATTAATTCAACACAGTCAAATTTGTATTGAAATGAAAATTAACAACGTCAAATAACAATTGATAAGTAAACAAAGTATACGTCAATTACGTCAAAATTACTACAGTTTATTAATTGAAAACTGTCAAATTTATATTGAAATGAAAATTCATAACGTCAAATAACAGATGATAAGTAAACAAAGTATACGTCAAAATTAGTACAAATTATTAATTCAAAACTGTCAAATTTATATTGAAATGAAAATTCACAACGTCAAATAACAGTTGATAAGTAAACAAAGTATACGTCAATTACATCAGAATTACTACAGTTTATTAATAGAAAACTGTCAAATTTGTATTGAAATGGAAATTCACAACGTCAAAAAAAAAATAAACTCAAAATTATAACAATTTTATACGTCAAAATTAGTACAATTTATTAATTCAAAAGTGTCAAATTTATATTGAAATGAGAATCGAAATAAGTGAAATAACTTTTGCAAGCAAACAAACAAACAAAAATTAAAATTACAACAAATTATATTGTTATTATGTAATTATTGTATTTATTTTGTAAGGAAAGTCATAAAAATAAATGTAATGAAGGTCTTGAATTGAAATAAAATTTATTTATTTATTTTTTTTATGTCTTTCTTCATATAGCAATATTTTCATAACTGGAAGCAAACTCGTCGGTCATTAGCCCGTCTAAACTAAATAAGACTCTCACCGCATAAGGATTCTAAGAAGACGTTTCGTTAAAGCCAAGTATTCTTATTTAAACAATCGCATAATTATTTCCTGCTTTGAACACATTATTCTTTTTACTTCCAAAAAGAAAGAAAAAATTATCTTAATAATATTCATAGACTAAAATTAAAATGCTAAAAATGTATTGAAAAATGTTAAATTTAAATAACGGAAAAGCTCAAGAAGATAAATGTTGCTAATAGTGTGTTAACAATGTTACTTTTTGTTGGAGTTATATGAACATTACTATGCGGTTTTTGCTACCTGATTTATACAAGAAAAACAAGTATAAATTATTCTAGTAAGCTAGTTTATTGTTTCCAATTTAAATATTTAATTTGTTTTCAATAGATTTCCTATAGAAATAATACGTTTCCTAGCAGTTATTAAACATATATGGAAACGACAACTGTCCATAGTTTTTTTTATCATAATAATAAACATTTTGAAATACTAAAATAATTTTCATTACCTCAATTTGCTATAATTATATATTAGTTTTACTGCATGAATAAACGTATTGGCATTATATAAATACTATTTTTTACGCCTCAATTTAACATAACTATGTCACATATTAGTTATGATTACATTAATGAACTTTACGCCTATTTTATTTTCTGATTCTTTTAATGTAATAAAATATCATATTCATGGAACTGTTGGCACTTAACATACATTTTTACAACTGCAATTTTATTTTTTTTAATTACTTCAAACACATTCATATTTTTATAAAAATCATCACACGTTTGATATGAATTAGATAAAAAGTATAAATAAAGCCCTTCTTTCTACAGTCAAAATTCAAATAAATTTTGATTTAAATTCTAAACTTAATATTACTTTACTATTCTCAATGTAACAGTATTTTGTATTGCATTGATAAGATTATATAATGGAACAAAGTAAATTTATATTTTACGACTTTAATGTACTTTTTTTTATAATTATGTTATGTGCTTACATCAATCAGAGACAATATTTTATGATGCATTTAAGTATATAATTACAATTTTATGGAAATCGTTATGTTTTATGTGAACTAGATAAAATGTTGTAATAACTGACTCGACCTTTATTAGAATTATTGCACAGAGTAAGTTATTATTTATGTTAAGTATTATTTTTTTGTTTCAGAGAAATTAAATATAATTTATTTTGCTTACTTGGACATTTTATTTTAGCTTTACAATGTAGTAAAAAAAAAGTTTTTACAAATATAATTTTACTTTTAATTGTTTCTTTGATAACTAACTGTTTTTTTTTGGTAAAACCAACTCGACAATCGTTTTCGATTGATGAAACTATAAATCATTGATTGTTTACTTCTCCTGTTATGTTTAACCGTTCTTTGAAAATTCTTCAGTTGTTTAAATACGATTTTTAACATTAGATATTTCTTTGCAGCCGATATTTTCCATATTTCATTTGTGTGTTTCATTTTGATAGAATGAACTTATTTTCTAAAAATAGACATTTTTATCATTGTTTCTATGTGTTAATGAAGTTATTTTTTTTTTAATATTTGTCGTTTGATGAGGTAAGAAATGTATTCTGTGAATTATGCAGCCGATATTTTCCTTATTTAATTTGCGTGTTCTTAATGAAAATAATCAGATTTTATGTGTTACTTTTTTATTTTGATAGAATGAAATTAGTTTCTAAAAAATAAACATTTTTATTGTTATTTCTGTGTTAATGATGTTAATTTTAATATTTGTCGTTTGATGAGGTAAGAAATGTATTTTGTGAATTATGCAGCCGATATTTTCCTTATTTAATTTGTGTGTTCTTAATAAAAATAATCAGTTTTTATGTGTTACTTTTTTATTTTGATAGAATGAAATTAGTTTCTAAAAAATAAACATTTTTATCATTGTTTCTATGTGTTAATGATGTTAATGATTTTAATATTTGTCGTTTGTTGAGATAAGAAATGTATTTTGTGAATTATGCAGCCGATATTTTCCTTATTTAATTTGTGTGTTCTTAATTAAAATAATCAGTTTTCATGTGTTACTTTTTTATTTTGATAGAATGAAATTATTTTCTAAAAAATAAACATTTTTATCGTTGTTTCTATGTGTTAATGAAGTTAATTTTAATAATTGTCGTTTGATGAGGTAAGAAATGTATTTTGTGAATTATGCAGCCGATATTTTCCGTATTTAATTTGTGTGTTCTTAATTAAAATAATCAGTTTTTATGTGTTACTTTTTTATTTTGATAGAATTAAATTATTTTCTAAAAAAATAAACATTTTTATTGTTGTTTCTATGTCTTAATGAAGTTAATTTTAATATTTGTCGTTTGATGAGGTAAGAAATGACTTATTAGAATTTGATGGTATAAAGTTGTGTGATTTTGTTTGGTAGCGTCGGAAGAAGATGTTGAGATGGAATTCTCGAGGTGGGGTTATGAAAATTAGCGGTCGGATTAGTAATTAGCCCTTAAGGGACGATGCGGAAAGTTTAATAATTAGTGGAGCGGAGATAGAGAGAGAGAGATGTGGGTGCAGTCTGTGAGGGTGGTTGAGCGTTAGAGTGAGAGAGAGTGTGTGTTAAGTGGGTGGAAAGGGAGATCGTCGGAGTTGGTGGCGCGCAGGGTTCTGAGTAAAGTCTGAGTTGGATGGATGGTGGATGTATGTATGTATATATGTATGTACCTGAGTATTCGGCGATGCTCGGAAGCCAAACTGGGACATGGTGTGTGCCCAGTCGGTGTTGCACTCACTGAGTCGTCGCCAGAGGAAGCATGGCTTCCTGCACGCACAGCACACTACACTAGCCGCATGTCCTCCACGCACACGTGACCCGCGCGACTGCTGTCAGTTGTTGTTGTTGCCGGTTGATGTTTGTAGTAGAGTACTGCTGCAGTAGTTGATGTCGAAGTAGTAGTAATAGTAGTAGTAGTACTGGTAGCAGTTGTAAATCAGCCAAATATACCAGTAGCACCGCTTGGTAATATGATTATGTTATAATATAGGCGCACCAGGTGATAATTGCGGTCGAACGGGACGCTTCTTTCTGGGGTCCGTTTGATTTTTGCGAGGTGTCTGCCCAGTGGGTGGACCCTTCCTGCTTGTAGAGTGGGGTGCAGAAGCAGCAGATGATCACTCGTTGTTGTTGATGATGATGCTCCAAGGGGGTGGCGTCGCTGGTGGGTGGAGGGGTTGCCTTCGGTTTTGCGGTCAGAGCGTCTCCGGCGAGTCCTGTTTTTGCCACCGACAGAACGCGACTACTGATGTCACGGAATTCTTTTAACGGCGACAAATTGTCGCGATCACACAACACACAAGCGCAGTAGTCGGCGATCAGTAAAAAAATCGTCGTCGTCGTCGCGAGTTTTGCCCCGCCACTTTCCTCCGGGGACGGCGCTGCTCTTTCTGAGATACATTTTTGTGGCCTCCCCCTCGGCGGACCGATTGATCCACCACCACTAAAAATCGCGCCCTACTTCTTTTTCCTAGTACCCCCGCCCCCTACGACCCGACCCCTCCACCACCACCTCACCTCTACACTCCTCCCCACCTCTGCGGATCGTCCCGTTCCCCCTCCCCACTCTCGTGTCGCGCGGCTCGCATTTTTCCCACTCTGCAGCCGCGGTCGACGGCGGTGGGATTGAAGAGCGCGCCGTCGGCACCGCCTCGCCCCGCCTTCCGGCATCGCCCAATCGGCGTGCCGTGATGGATCGACCGCGTGCACACATCATCCCCGTGTCTAACCGCTGTTCGCACCTCCGCAGACACGGATCGGCTACTGTTGTGTGATGTGTGAACCCACTAAATACCATGTATTCAATCTAAACGCTACAAACCTTTTTCCTAAACTACAACACCCCCTCGCAACGCCCACCCGTCGAAGCGCCTCCTCCGACCCAACCCGGAACCTCCCACCAGCTCCCCGTCTCTCTCTCGCACCGAACAACAACAATTCAATTTATTAACGAAACTATCGTCGCGAATAAATAAATATTTCGAAACGAAAAAAAACGAGAATAAAACCGAAAGTTCAATTAAACCTCCTCTTGGTGGCAGCACCGAGCGACGGTTTCACCTCGTGGTGGGGGTATCACAAACGCTTGGAGGTTCATCCGTCGGGTGCGCTGCTGCTGCTGATCCTGACACGCTCTCGATGTTGATGAAACATTGTCAGATGCGCGATCTACTTGCTGCTTAAGTTTATACATTAATCTCATGAAGATTGATGATGCTCACCAACTGACAGAAACTTGCAAACTCCTCAGGATAATAAAGTATCACACACACACACACACAGACTTACAAACACTCTCTGCAAGAACAAACTCTTCACCTCTTTGTCCGCATTTGAATAACTCGCATTATCATTAAAATCAGTTAAACACTATTCCGAACGCAATTTATCTCCTCGATCCTCTCTGATAAACCTAATCTCCGATTTCGCCTCGGGATCTTCAAAACTTCCTTCCTCCTTCTCTCATTATATTATGCACGCATATCGATTTTCTTCACTCACGCGCCACACACAATTTTACAATTTACATAATTTAATTACACGCATTCATTTTATCCACTTCACATTCTACACATTTACATTAATAACAAATCAATTAATTACAACAACAAAAAAACTATTATTAATAAACTCAATTGATAACCTGAACTTTGTGTTGAAAAATTGATCCAATGACCAAACATACACATTAATCAACTCTAGTCAGTTATAAGTATGTTATTAGTTATAACATGTTACATAAATAGTTTCTATAATACGTTTTGTTAATAATCAAAAACTGCTATTAAAATCGTCAAAATAATAAAATTGATACAAGTAAATTTCATTTAATTTCTGAAGTACACAACTCAGTAGTAATTATGAATTAATACATTTCCATTGAAAATCACATTTTTTTTTCAATTATTTAATATAGAATTATTATAATTAATGGTTATTAGCTAAAATATTATTAATTAATATAGTTTATTTAATTCGTTAAGAAAACTATGCATTTTTCTGAATTGAATTGAAAATAAAACTTCGAATTAGTAGAATTCACAATAAAACTGTATTTATTTAAAGATTGATTATGGGAATACGAAAGGTTGTAGCAGGGTTTGTTCCGAGTTTCATTACAAAAAACTATTGGATACACATATTCGCTTTATGAAAGTCGCCTTTGTTGTGAAGGTATAAATAATGTTAGAGGAGGGATAATAACAGTTTAACAGTTTAATTACAAAAAAAAACATAAAATTAATAAACTCAATTGATAACCTGAACTTTGTGTTGAAAAATTGATCAAATGACCAACCCACACATTAATCAACTCTAGTCAGTTATAAGTACGTTATTAGTTATAATATGTTACATAAATAGTTTCTACAATAAGTTATATTAATAATCAAAAAACAAGTTGGTAGATCCTGCGCGAATTAATACATTTCCATTGAAAATTACATTTTTTTCAATTATTTAATTCATTTATAATTCTACAAATTATTAATTAAAATAGTTTATTGAATTCGTTAAGAAAACTATGCATTTTTCTGAATTGAATTGAAAATAAAACTTCGAATTAGTAGAATTCACAATAAAACCGTATTTATTTAAAGATTGATTATGGGAATATGAAAGGTTGTAGCAGGGTTTGTTCCGAGTTTCATTACGAAAATCTATTCGATACACATATTCGCTTTATGAAAGTCGCCTTTGGTGTGAAGGTATAAATAATGTTAGAGGAGGGATAATAACAGTTTAACAGTTTAATTACAAAAAAAAACATAAAATTGATAACCTGAACTTTGTGTTGAAAAATTGATCAAATGACCAACCCACACATTAATCAACTCTAGTCAGTTATAAGTACGTTATTAGTTATAATATGTTACATAAATAGTTTCTATAATACGTTATGTTAATAATCAAAAAACAAGTTGGTAGATCCTGCGCGAATTAATACATTTCCATTGAAAATTACAATTTTTTCAATTATTTA